TCCTCCCTTTCACACCGCTTAACAACAACAGATGGTGGATCGTCCTTCTCCCGCTCGCCCTCCTGCTGCTCCTCCCGCTCTTCCTCCTCCTCCTCCCGCTGCTACTCCTGCTCTTCCCCCCTTCCTCCTCCCGCTTGTTCCGCTGGCCGCACCCTCACCCGCCGGCAGTTTGCGCGGGGAAGTTTGCACGGTTCGATTCTCGGTGCCAGCCCTCGCCCCGCAATTGTCCCGCTCGCCCAGCCCCACGAACCGACGCGCCCGAAACCCCCGTTGTCCTCCTCGGTCCACCTCATCGTGCCACCCAACGCTCTTCTTCGCAAATACGGCCCCCGCCAACCAACGCGCCCTCCTCGGTTCCCTGCGGCACCCTACGCGGAACTCCCTGTTCGATTTTTGATAGGCCCAGTGGGAGCGTCACGCGCGGATCGCTTTTTCCTTTAAGGTATATATAATATAATAGTTTGCGCGGGGAAGTTTGCACGGTTCGATTCTCGGTGCCGGCCCTCGCCCCGCAATTGTCCCGCTCGCCCAGCCCCACGAACCGACGCGCCCGAAACCCCCGTTGTCCTCCTCAGTACACCTCATCGTGCCACCCAACGCTCTTCTTCGCAAATACGGCCCCCGCCAACCGACGCGCCCTCCTAGGTTCCCTGCGGCACCCCACGCGGAACTCCCTGTTCGATTTTTGATAGGCCCTGTGGGAGCGTCACGCGTGGATCGCTTTTTCCTTTAAGGTATATATAATATAATATATATATATATAAGAGAAGAGAAATTAAAGCAACTGACAGGCTTTGGTAGTGTGACCCACCTGACCTGGCCCTTTGATATGATAGATATCATATCATATATATCCCTTACGGGATTTGAACCCGTGTCTTCGCCATGAAAAAGCGATGTCCTATACCCCTAGACGAAAGGGATGAATGAAAGTGCTTGTAGCTCAATTGGATAACGCAACAAACTAAGGATTTGGGGGTTGAGAGTTCAAGTCTTTCCAAGCATGGGCCTATAATATTTGCAAGTAACCATGAATGCAATGAACCTTACTTGCATATTTGCCCCCATTATCGACTCTGCCATTGCCAACAGTGGGTGGGGATCTTCCGGGGTGGGTCGTGCCACCCTGTAACCTACCAGTTGGGGGCATGAGGCCTGGTAGAGATTGGGTATTGGGATACAGGGGTGAGGCAGGTAGGGTTGGGCTGCTGAAAGGCTCTAAGGCAGGAGTCTTTCGGTCTGAATGCTCCTTCGATCAATGGTTTGGCATTAGCGAAATTCAATGTTTTTGTGTAGATCGCATAGCTATCACTCTTAGCCGAAGCCAGATAATGGCCCAGTATCTCAAAGTTGTCTTCATAAATATTTAATATGTTCTTGAAAGGGACGTTGGGCCTGGTTCCAGCACGTGCCGCTCCCGACAAATAGATTGGAGCACGTCGTTTTTGGAAAAAGAAGAAGAGAATGCGGAAAGAGGCAGAAGAAGAAGAGTGGCAAAGAAGAAGACGAAAACAAAGATCACTCGCGTCCAAGGTTCCTTGTACGAATTGGAGTAATAGGCCGTTGAATTCCAATCCCAGACCCATCCATACTTGTCCACATTACTAACATTATTTTCACCAACAGGTTATTCCTCTGAAACCCAGAGTAATCACGGCTGGCAGGCGTTTTCTCAGCTTTTTTCTCTGTAAAAAAAGACGCATTCAAGGGACGCTGGACCCGGTTTCCAGCAACAAAAGGGACTGGGGCTCGTGGGGGGAGGGAGGAACTAGGGTGTAGCAATAGGTTTCTGGTGCCGGTTCCAAGGTGAAGAGGTTCCCCCCTTCCCTGCTTCCTGCTCAGTCAATCCCCTGGAGGTCAGGGTAATCAAGGCTGGCAGGAGTTGCTCACGAAGGACTTATCTGACACATATGGGACGCTGGGCCCGTTTCCCAGCAGGTGATGCTCCCCACCAATAGATGGAGCCTCTCCCCAGGTGCTAGTGGTGTCTGCTCTTAGCAGCACCACTAA